AGATAGATAGATAGATAGATAGATAGATAGATAGATAGATAGATAGATAGAAATAGAGATAGATAGATAGGTAGATAGATAGATAGGAATAGAGATAGAGATAGAGATAGAGATAGAGATAGAGATAGATAGATAGATAGATAGATAGATAGATAGATAGATGATAGATAGATAGATAGGAATAGAGATAGAGATAGATAGATAGATAGATAGATAAATAGATAGATGATAGATAGATAGATAGATAGATATAGAGAGAGGTAGGAATAGAGATAGAGATAGATAGATAGATAGATATAGATAGGAATAGAGATAGATAAATAGGGTTCTAAGCAGGGGTGGGCTTCAAAATGTTAGCGAAGGGTTCTCTGCCCAATGGCTGGGTGGGCGTGGCCTAGTCGGCCTCCTGCACCACGGTGGGGGGGGGGAGCGTTTTTGCCCTTCCCAGACTCCAGAGGTTTTTCTCGAGCCTCCGTGAGGGTGAAAACGGCTTCCCTGGGCTCCGGAGGTGCTCCGGAAGCCAGAAACGGCCCCATTTCCAGCCTCCCCAAACTTCCAGGAGGCCCGTGTCAAGTCAGAAATATTTCTCTTGTCTTTTAAGAGTTGTCAGCAGAAGAGGAGTAATGCATGCCGTAGATAATGGCTAGGCTGCCAAAGCTTCTGGCACGCAAAATTATTCCTGAAGAGCAGGATTGATGACTCGTGGCGATGGATGTGTCCCATTGGAGAATAGACATCCAGGGGGTGGGGGGAGGGGAAGACCAGGGTCAAGGGGGAAATGAATGATGCGTCTCAGTGTCGGGTGCACCCAGGTAACGCCGACATGGTCACTCCTAATAAATCAATGTTTTTTACTTTGGGAGATGTGGCTACTTATGATTTGAATGGGGGTGGATTGTCAGAGCCTTCTCCAAACCTCTATGCGTGCCCTGCACTTACCTGCCTGCAAAATGGGCCACCTGGGGACTCCTGGGAGGGGAGGGGTGGGATAGGTGGGGCCAGCCAGGAGCGGAGATTTGGGGGTTCTCCAAACTGCGCAGAATCTTAGCTAGGGGCTCCCCCAAACCCCTGCGAACCCCCCCAGCACCTGGTGTTCTAAGTCAAAGATAACCTGTATCTTTTCTCACACTGTTTTTTTTTCTTAATCATTTCTCTCTTTTTTTTTTTTGGAATTGATCTTCTTCCTTTTGTCTCTTTCTCCCAACATACCAGAATGCCAAAGTTCTCATCCGAAAGTGAGTATGATTTATTATCTTAATAATATCCAGGCCTTTGGGAATCGAAAGAAAGAAAGAAAGAAAGAAAGAAAGAAAGAAAGAAAGAAAGAAA